AGAGAATAAAATTCATCAATCGTATATGTATTAAGTTCACTGAGTCATGTCACGGGAAGAAGAGTAAAGACTTAGGGAAGAAGCTTTTAGAAACTATGGTACAAAAGACTTAGTTTGAGTTAGATGCTCCTACTATAGATACTACAAGTAATGAGGGAAGGCTTACAGAAGCCTCTAGTTATCATTTAACTCGTGATAAGGTAAGGAGGAGATTGTACCATCTTAAAGGTATGGACGGTTATGTCGTCCTTGGGTGTTATTCTTTGAATGTGGTTGAAGGATTGAAAAACTCTTAAACAAGGACCTTCAGGGATACATTCAAAAGAAGATGGAGTCAAAGGTGGTTGAAGAACCATATTTGGGGCTTGTTAAACTACTAAAGCAGAACAATATTGTTGGAAGCAACTAGATGCAAGTGGAAAGTTCAAGATTCAAATGTGGCTTGAACTTGATCAATGTTGTTTAATAGTGATTCCACATGGAAAGTTCAAGTTTCAAACGTGGCTTGAACTCGATCAGTTCACCACTGCTTTAATTCAAGGTTGATATTGCTGAAGTATGCATTGAAACCTTAAGTAATAAAGAGAATATAAACATGTTTTGAAATTGCATAAACCAAAAATCATCCCTACAGGAGCCGGTGGCGACAATGAAATTGTGCATCTGGGTCTGGAAGGAGATTTGGTTCGCCAGAGCTCGGATATGGTTTTCTCTGTTGGTGTGTACTAGGATTTGATGTTTTAGTTTATAGATCAATTCATTTATGGTTTATGTTGTTGGCTTGTTATGGATCAGTTGGGTTTCAGTAGTTATAAATATGTATCTCTTGCCATCACAACCTTAATAACTTTAGAGCTAAACACATAGATATGGGTTTGAGAATCGTAGTGGTCAGGTTTGAGAGGCAAGGGAAAATTCCTAAGAGTGTGTTCTTTGAATTTGGGAGACCCTTAAAAGTATCTAAGGGAGATTAGGAAATACAAGATTGTGAAACACTTAGGTAATTGAAAGGTATTGATTGGCAGCAGCAGAATATGGATACTAAGCTCGTCATTATGAACCATGGGGTGTCTGATCATGCCTTATTATGTTTGCAGGATATCAATGTGAAGAGTCCAATTAGAGCTCCCTTCAAATTCTAAAATGTTGTTATCAATAATGCTGAGTACAAGAAAGTTGTGCAACAAAGCTAGGAGGATATTGAACAAGAGATTATTAGGTATTATAAGAAGCTCATAGGCATTTCTAATATCCATGAGGAAAGGTCCTCAGCTGACTGGTGAGCAGAGGGATTTCTTAATATCTCATATTTCTGAAATTGAGATTGCCAATAGCTTGAAAGGCATGAAGGATCTCTCAGCCTCTAGCATTGATGGGTTTAATGCCAAATTTTTCAATAGTGCTTGGGAGAGTATCAAACATGACACCATCAAAGCAATCAAAGAGTTCTTTGAGAGGAAGAAAATCTACAAAGTTATTAGCTACACCCTTATCACCCTCATCCCCAAGACTAACGTTGCTAATATGGTGAAGGATTTCAGACCCCTATCTTATTGCACAATCATTTACAAGTTGATTTCTAGAATTATGGCTAATAGACTGAGTAAGGTTTTGAACAACATTATATATAGAATTCAAGCTGCTTTTGTGCTAGGAAAGAACATCCATGACCATATCCTCATTGCCTATGAGTTGATAAGAGGGTACAGTATGTTGTACCCCAAAATTTGACCAACCGGTTTTTGCAATTGGCTTTTGTTTCTTTGCATTTTGCATTTTTCACATATCATAGCACATGTTCTCGAGGCATGGGATCGTGGCATTCCTGTGGCTCAGGTTCATTTCGGCACAAAGGACTGAACAACGAATAGCGAGCATCAGAGTCTCAGGGCATTTATTTTGCCCAGCGGTCAGGCGGACTATTTTATTTTATTTTACCGGAGAACAGCGGTTCAGAAAGCAACACTCAGGCTATATCAAGCATTTTTACAGTGATAACATTCGGGAACAAGATTCAGAGGCTTAACAGAGCTCCAAATAGTCAAAATAGGGCAAACGGACAGATTTCCCTCCAAAAGGCGCTAAATTCACAATTTTGAAGGTGTTAATCGGTTAACGCATATGGTTAACCGATTAACCAAGTCAAATCAGGTCAATGTGGAGTTTTTTTAAAGCTGTTAATCGATTAGCCTATATGGTTAATCGATTAACCAGTGAAATTTTTGCCTCTGTACGTGATTTTTCAATGCAGAGCCATTTGGGGTCCAATTTTGATCACTTGAATTCAAATTTGTCACTTGGGAAGGATCTAGAATCATTTCATAATTTCATTTCCCTCCAAAATCTCATTCCTAGTGCCAAACCAAATTTCACAAACCAATTTCTAAGCCTCTCCTTGGGATCCAAACCTAGATGATATTTAAGTGATTCACTCCAAACCAAAGGGGGCCAATCTTCATTTCTCACATTCATTTTTCAGAATTCATCTCAATTCTCTCAAATTCTCTCTCAATTTTCCAATTCCAAAAGCTCTTTTCCATTGAATCCTTTGATTCTTCCTTGGAATCAATTAATTCTTGAGTTCAAACCTCCATCCATCATCTCCATTGAAGTGATTTCTTCATCCAATTTTCGTGCACAATTGGATATGAACCTGGAAGTGATTTTGGAAGTGATTATTTGGCTTATTTTGGATTAATATTGAAGGATTTTCATTGCTACTACAAGAATTGGTGTGGATCTTGAAGTATTCTGGACTTCTAGCATTGGATCTGTTCAATTCCATTTGAATCAACATTAACCGGGGCAAATCTTTGCTCCGAAGGTTGGATCCGAATCTGTTTTCAGCTTATTTGCAATAACCATGTGGATTTTCATCTTCGATTGAATTTTGGTTAATTTGATCCGCTTGATTCTTGATTTGGTTGTGTTAATATGCTTACATGTTGTTTGAATCATGATTTGCTGGTTTAATTTTGTGCACAATTAATTATGAGATCATTTGGAAGTTTGCCTAAGTGATAAGTTGTTGTTAAGTGCTTTTCTACTGTTGTTTACTGCTGTTGGAGCAGTGTTAATCGGTTAACCTATATGGTTAATCGATTAACCAGTTCAAACTTTCAAATTTTTCAAACATTAACAGGTGTTAATCTGTTAACGCCTGGTGTTAACCGATTAACATGTGTAAATTTCTAGATTTTCACACATTTTTAACAGGTTAACCGTATGTGTTAACCGATTCACATTGTTCCAGCAGCACTGTTTTTGTTGTTTTGCATGCTTGCTTGGTACCATTTCGTCTCGAATCATCATAGATCAGTGTGATGTATTAGGGATGAAATGTTTCTGGATATTTGTCGATATTCTTGATTATTTAATCGAGACTTCCTCGACACGCGCATTGGTTTCCACTTGGATGCACACTTATGTGTTGTTGTTCATGGTGATGATCCTTTTCTTGCATTTCTTTTGCTTTGTTTGCATCATTTTTGCATCGCTGTTGAGGTCGAGATGCGCTTGTGGAGGCTGCTTCCCCACACATTTTTCCTCCCTCCCTCCATTCTAAGTGTGCATTTTTCATGTGTGCATCTCTTACTTGTGATTGAATTTACTTGGTGCTTTCTTGTGCTTTTTGCCATGATCCCCATAGGGTTCCTAGTCCCTCCGTTTAGGATGGGAGTAGAAGAGACATTAGGTGTTCAATCCAAGCATGCTAACATTAGGGTAGATATTCCCCCCTTTTAATCCAAACCTTAGGACCACTTTGCATGACAACGTTAGGGCCGAGTTTCCCTTAGACCTTCTGTGCGTCTTTCTTCTTCTCATCTCAAAATCATTCTAACTCATCTAATAAATGTGATAAACGTTGTGCGCTACGAGCCTTAAGCTACATGGGAAATGGTGAGTGAGGGGTCTCCTCTCGCTTATCTAGAGTGTTTAGTATACGTCCCGTCTGGGGGCGATACGCGACGCATTCACTCCCATGTCATAGTCTTTAGTGCAACGTGAATCACAAACCGAATTAATTCACTTCACTAAAAAACTCAAAAACCAATTTCAAACCTTTTTCCTTCGGGATTAATCGGAAACCTTTTTCGTAAAAAGAGTGTTGTTAAGCTTCGGTTCTACCGCAAACAGGCTTTGTCCCTAACTGCTGGAACGGAGGTTTAACCTTACTCGGTTAAAACACTTAATCAACCTGTGGTTTCGTGTCAGCCCGAACTACATTTGCTCTGATTTCTCGTACCAGACGAGGATACGTAGGCACAAGACGCGATGTCTTGGTGAGCAACCTACCCCTCTTTCGCCCGTAGTTAGCCAAACCACGTTGACTCTGACTTTCCCATTGCACGAGGGAATACGTAGGCACATAGCGGCGATGCTCCGCCGAGTCTCTTTTTCTTTTCTTTTTGTTCCGAAGCCTGTAGCTAGATAGTTAAACACACCCTTAGATAGACAACAAGCGTGGATCCCGTCGAGTACGAGGGACGTGAGGGGTGCTAATACCTTCCCCTTGCGTAACCGACTCCCGAATACAGGACTTGGTTCGATGACCTCGTCTTTTCCCTTTTTCGTTAGGTTTTTCCGATCGTTTACTTTCCCTCTCTTTGGGATAAATAACGAAAGGTGACGACTCTTCTGTTTTCCCCCGGGTGTTTTTCGCAGTTGCGACACAGTGCAAAAAATGGAGCCCTAAAATGTATGCTTTAGATGGATTTGCATAAAGCTTGTGATATTATTAGTGGGTAGCTTTGGAGGCCATTTTATAGGAGCTCAACTTTCCTCATCAGTTTATTAGTTGGATTGTTAATTGTCAAATCTGTCTCATACAAATTTCAAGTGAATGGGTCCTATACTCCAATGGTGCAAGCTAAGAGAGGCATGAGACAAGAGGATCCTTTGTCCCCTTGTTATTTGTGATAGTAATTGAGTATTTACATAGATTTCTTCAAAATCTCAAGGACAAGCCCAATTTCAACTTTCACCCAAAGTGTGAAAAGATGGATATTATAAACCTCGGCTTTGCAGATGACTTGCTTCTATTTGCCAAAGGTGACCTTAAATATGTGGAAATGTGGGTGGTTGTGTATGAAGAATTTTCCAATTCCACAAGGCTGAAGATAAATCCGTCCAAGTGTAAAGCATTCTTTGGGAATATGGGAGATGAGGATGGGCAAAGAATACAAGACATCACCAAGTTTTATGAGGGTCAGATGCCTTTTAGGTATCTTGGTATACCTTTTACCAGCAATAAGTTAAACATAAACCATTGCCTTCCTCTGGGTGATAGAATCCTTACTAGAATCAACCATTAGAGTTCTAGGCTTCTTTCTATGGCTGGTAGGACTCGGCTCATCAATAGTGTTTTATTTTCCCTTTCTAATTATCGGCTTTAATGTCTCCCCTTGCCTAAGAAAGTGTTAGCAAAAATTGATGCAACTTTTAGGTCTTTCATATGGTCAATGACTGATAAGATCACTAGAAAAGCTCTCATAGCTTGAAAGAATACATGCTCTCCTAAGAAGCAGGTGTAAGAGCAAGAATTGTCTCTACATGTTATCTCTATGTTTTGATGATAACAATTAAGTATTTATGAAAGAATCATTTTATGTTCTAATGTTTGTTGTGCGCAGATCATTAAATAAATATATCAAATCAACAAACAATATCAAGAAGTGCATGAAAGCCAATATGAAGTTACTTTGTGTGACGTTACTTAAAGCTTAGCTTTCAAGGAAACTCTGAACGAAGAAAAAAGTGAAACTCTGAGTGAAGTACCACGTGATATTCTGGATAAAGAACTTAAAGCGCCTATTCAAGAAGCAGTTTGCCTCTGTATCTGATCATAATCAGAAAGATCCAAAGATGTTGTATATTGGTGTTGCAATGCTCTTGTGGATTCTGTTCTGAGAAGTGTATTTGATCTGGAAGCTATCAATGCATCTGAGATGTAGTCCTCTGAAGAACCAAGCTCTGAAGAATCTGATGACTTGATGTTCTGAAGGCTCTGAAGACCAAGTGCAGAAAGACTCTGAAGACTAGATTCTGAAGTTGAAGATTATATAGCAACACCCAGATGAAGACGTGTTGATAAACTCTGGTAAACAAGTTCTGAAGTAAGACTCTGATGTTATTACACTATCATACCAAAGTAGTTTCTGAACTACTCATCAGATATATCATCAGAAGAAGTTAAGCCAGAAGCTGATCTGTACAAAAGACAAAGTAAGTGATGTAACTATACTTTCCAACACGTGACTATTCTATCCATTGGAGATATGACAGTTGAAATATTTGAATGGACATCTCTGTCCTCACAACGTATCTCTTGGATACACTATAAAAGAAGAACATTTGAGTCATTCAAAAATAGACGCTGTCGTGGTTGCAGTTGATGTTGTTGTTGCTGCTGTTTTGCTATAATCAGTATGCATAACCAAAGGAAAGCTTTTACGCTAAGAAGTCGCAGTGCTCACCTATGAAAGATTTTAAGCAATATGGAAACTACTGTTCTTAATAATCTCCTTGAGATTCATCCTTAGATTAGTTTCTATATTAGAATGCAAGGAGATGTTGCTCAATACTTGCTCTGCACTAAATTAGGAGTAACCTGCTTATCAAGAAGCACTCATGTAATCTCCTGCAACATAAATTCTATTTTATAATTAGTGGTTCCTCAAGTGATCTTGTGAAGATCAGTATACTTGAGATGACAAGTGACAGTTGTCATTTGTAGGATCAATGAACGCTATATCCTTAAGGGATCCCTGAACGTGTCATTGTCCATTTATTAGTCACTTGCAGTTAGCTTGTGCATATCTGTAATTAGTTTGGTTATAGTGGATTAAGTCCTTGCGTGAGTGAGCGAAATCACCTTGGAAGGGTGGACTGGATTAGCTTGAGGGTTGTTCAAGTGAACCAGGATATATCTTGTGTTCTTTATTTATATCATGATTTATATGCTTCCGCAACGCAAAGAAAAGAATACTATAGAAAGCAACTTAAAAGAAAAAGATTAAAAGTTTCAGTAGAGGAAATACCCAATTCAACCCCCCCCCCCCCTTCTTGTGTATTTTTCATACCTTCAGTTGGTATCAGAGCTCTGGTTCTGTTATTGATGGATATCAAACACCTAACAGTGTCAGATAAAGATCCAAAAGCATGTGAAGAAATACTTCTGGGGATTTTTCACTCCTCTTACAATTTCAGTCTCATATCAGTTTCTGACGGAGATGAGTACTAAAATTGTATTTAATGGTTTTTTGTGAGCAAGTCAGTGATTCACTGAAGTTTGAAGTATTGAAAGTTTTCAATAACAAAATATTCTCCTCTAGAGATTGAAAGAAGATTGAAGAATCAGTTGACAAGAGAGATTCATTAGAAAAGAAGTTTTTCGGTTGAATGCTTCATAAAATACGTTTGGATGTACAATGTATTAGCTCAAAGGTCAAATCATAAGTAGCAAGAAATCTTGTTTGCTGAAGATTAATTCCAGGTGAGTATGAGATGTTTTCAAGAAACGGATTAGTCCACACTTGAATTTTTCATGAAAAGCTCATTGGGAATTTCTCTTTAGTAAGTAAAGAAATTTTGTTGGCTAAAAGAATTTGACTCATAAGAATTTCATATTAAAGCATGCATATGTAAAGAAGTTTAATAACTCTGAGTTTGTATTAGATGATGCATGGACGATTAAGTTCTATTAAATTGAGATTTTATCTTAGTTGAACAAACTGTAATTGGTCAGATGTTTTTCTGATATTCTTTCTTAAAAGGTAATGAGGATCGAATACTGAAGTCAAAATGTCAAGAAGATTCAGTGACAGAAGTCATTCAATCTGTTTCCTGAAGGAATTTAAGTTACTGGGGTTATTCATGAATAAGTCAGTTGACATTCCTTTCAGAAGCAAATCCAGATGTCATTCTGTTAGCTGCTTCTGGAAAACTATCTCTGAAGAGCTTCTCCTGAATCAAATCTTCTCACCTAGAAGAGAAGATTAACAGATAGAAGGAGAAGTCATCAGAAGTCTATAAAGTAGGTTCTTAACTACCTAGAAAACATATTCTTCTGTGACAAGAAACTCTGAGAATCAGATTATACATGGCTCTGAAACGTCTACAACAAAGATTGTTTCTGGATAATAAGAACATCTGAAGAACGAAGATCTGATATGATCTGAAGCGTTCCTCTGGATGACAAGTTTTCTGAAACACTCGCCAGAGCCAAGCTGCATAGATCTGAAGCTAAATCTGGAACCTCATCAGAAGATCTAAAGATTATTCTGATAAGGGAAGTAAGAGAATTTCATCAGAAGATCCGAAGCTTAAAGAAGATGGAACTCCTTCAGAAGATCTGAGTGTGGTTTAAACGTCTCACATTCTCAAAAGCGTTAGTGGCACAAAGTCTGCAACCACGTTTCATTTATCTTCTGACTGATGGAAACGATTGAAGTGCACAAAAATATGCGTTGTTCATAGGTACTATTCAAATCGATTTAAATTCTCACGTTTGTCAGTACCATTAAATGCATTTCATCATTATTTATCTTGTTAAATGTGTTAATTAAATGACATTAAATGCTAAATGATGTTTGAGTGTTCTCTGCCTTAATTATTGCCCATATATATATTCCACATCTCATCAATTGCACACTTCTTACGCTCACCATCACCAGCATATGCATTTTTGCCTTCTACACGGTTTCCTCTTCTCTCTCAAACCCAAAACCCAGAAAACCTTTTCATTTCCAAGCTCATCAACTATGGCTTCATCCTCATCAATGTCTGCTCAACTTCAATCAACAATGGCTGCTATCAGTTCATCCATCGTGAGTACAACTGGATACAAGGAACCTGTAAGAACCCTTCTTACTCCAGTTGAAGATTTGGAAGTTCTCTGTGAATCGTTAGTGGATTTCGAGTGCATTGCCAGAAATGGTTTTGATCTTCGTCTAACAGTGAAAGCTCAAGGATGGTCTAAGTACTTTGATCGTTTGGTTGGACCTGTTTATCCTCATCTGGTCAAGGAATTCTGGATTCATGCAGTTCTCTATCCCAAGTAGATTGTATCGTCTGTTCTTGGCAAAGAAATTATCATTTCTGAAAATTTGATAAGGAAATTAATTGGATACGCAGAAACGGATGGAGTTACACATCTTTAGGCTGATCGTGTAAATATGGAAGAAATGTTTACTGAAATTATGAAATCTGAACAGTCATCTAGTCGGATGAAGAATTTGAAGACCGTTTACAAAATCTGGGCCAAGATTTTCCTAAGTTGCATCCATCATAGGAAAGCATCGAACTCACCAGATTATGTGAATGTTGATCAGTGCTATTTCATGTACTGTTTTAGCAAAGGAACCAAGGTGGATTTACCCTATGTTTTGTTTAATCATCTGTGGAATCAGATCAAGCAAACCAGAGAAGTTTTAAGGTCTAAAATTCAAAAGCTCAGAAACTGGATTCCTATGGGGAGACTAATCTCAGACATTCTGACTGAGAATGGTCTAGTTGCACATTTAAAAGAAGCAGGAAAAACAGCAGAGTTAGAGGCTATTCATAGAAGCCCTCTGAATGGTAAAAACCTAGTCAAGATGAAATTGATTGAGAAATTGGCATCTGCCCCATCCAAGAGAAAATATGCTGATGTTTGTAAAAGGAGAATTTCAGTTGATGATTTTCCTCTGTTCTCTGCTGATGAACCTAGAGAAGTCATTCTGGCATATATAGCAGAATGTATGGCAGATGGAACTCCACTTCCTGTAAATCTAGTTCAGAAAGAAGGTGAACCTCTACCATATCTTTTTGAAGCTAGACGCAAGAAGAAGAGAAAGGTCTCTGAAGAAGGTACTTCAAAATCAAATAGGAAAGCCTCTGGCGAAGCTGCTGTCGAACCTCAGAGGATCAAGAAGCAGAAAGCTAATCCTACTGAAGCAAGTCTGGACACCATTCTGGAAACTGTTAAACAGGTACTAACATCTAATCCTCCAACATCTGAACCTACACCTTCGACTCCATCTTCACCTTCTCTTTCATTTGAACATATTTCATCTGAACATATTTCATCTGAACCAACACAGTCTTAACCATCTTCTGTACCCCAATAAGCAAATCCATCTGACAAACAAACCTTTGCACCCATAAACTCTGCTCCACTAACATCACCAGTTATTCTACCAGAACAACCTTTACCCTATCAGCCAGAACATCCACTCTCACCAGATCACCAATATTATTCTGATCCTGAACCTGATTTCATGGATCTCCAACCTCTTAAGATTATTTATCTTGTATCGTCTGAAGATTGTGACAC